GCGGTACCAAACCTCCATACAAACCTGCCATTCTCCTTTGGTCATTGTCATTTAAACTGTCAAACACCGCGCGGTCACCGGTGACCGCAACCTATTGTTCTATAATTGTGTCTACAAAACCGGTATTCGACGAGTTCAAGTAAAAATTCAAAGTCAAAACATACAACAGTCTATGAATAACAGAACTATGCTTAATCAGATAAACAAACACCCTTTATACCAATAAATGTGAGCTTCACTAAAACTGCTTCGTTGGCCGAATGGTCGCAACTGTGACTGCCGGGCAAGGGTTCTCGGGTTCGCAATTCCTGGGTCGGGCAAAATATTACTAGGGATTTCAAAATTCTCAGTAGTAGCACGGAGTCTGGAAATGTGCCCGGTATATGGCAATAGGCTCACCCCCTATTACATGGGACTCATAACATAAATAGTAAAAAATGGCCATTACAGTGGCATTAAGTGCCGTAATGTGCACCTCTTCTTACCCTTTCGGGGATAAAAAGCGTGATATTATGTTATGTCACTATAACTATTCCATTGCCCACCATCAGAATCTATAAGGGGCCCTGGGTCATCTAAATAGACCAGCTGCAATCTATGCCTTCTAATTCTATATCAACTTCATAGCGGTATACATTATTCCACTTCACAGGTAGTCCGTCTGATAAACCAGTTGGTAAAGCGTCGCAACGAGCGGCTGGATCCCTCGGCACTGGACTGTCTGCTCACCCTCAAGATACGAGACATCGACATGGACGCGGAGGCAGAGATCAAGCACAAGAAGAAACAAGAAGAGAAACACAAGAAGCGGATTGTTAACTTGTCTAAGAAGGAAAAGAAGGTACGTTTTATAAAGTATTTGTACTTTATTGGTTATTTGTAGCTACTCTTTGCTGAGTCTTCTATATAGGTTACTTAAATGCTTTATGGCCACCTATGTATATACTTTATGTTTTTAACGACTTTGTGCGTAAGTACCAATCTGTTTAAACTTTTATCATAACTGAATGATCTTATCAACTAGCAGGGAGCTACTTTATCAGAGCACCACAGATGGGGCCCAGTAGGGCTGATGCTCGATGCAGAGCTGCGTAGGACCTAACGGGTTGCCAAAGCTCTGACTCGAACGAAGAGCAGGGTGGCTTTTAGTCAGTAAGAGTCTCGACACTCCCTCTCGCCTTGGGTGAGCCTAAGGCGAGAGAAGTCATTGAATGATTCTCAGCCTTTTGATTAAAAAGACAGGAAGGGTGTATGCACGGCGATGGCCTTAACCTACGACCAGCCAATGCCAATGAAATACAGGCAGTAATCAATTACATATTTAATTATTTAAGATTATTCTAATTCAATTAACAGCGAGCGAAGAAGTTAAAAGAAGTGGAGCGTGAGTTACTAGAGACGCAGGCGCAGGAGAGTGAGATGGCGCGACGGAAACAACTCACTGAGGTCACCAAGACTGTGTTCCACATCTACTTCCGGTTGTTGAAGACTGCGCCGCGGTCTAAGTTGTTAGCTGCAGCGCTTAATGGACTTGCTAAGTAAGTCGCATCAGATTTTTATATTTTAAACCAGAAGAGAAGCATGTTAAGGGAGTGGAGAGATGTAAAGAGATAACAATTGATGACCCACTCGGGCCCCCATCGACGTAATAAGGTCTTGTCATAACCTGTTTGAAAATAACATTTTAAAAGATTCGGGTTGTCAGAAAGTGCATTCGTTTGCTCTTGCGACATCCACGACAAGAGCAGAGGAGTGACGAATGTGTTCTTTCTACTCTGTCATCGAACATACAGTCAGCCTGAGCCATCTATCTATATCAATCTAATATAAAAAATGAATTGCTGTTCGTTAAAACTCGATAACGGCTGAAACTATTTGGCTAATATTAGTCCTGAAATGTTTCAAGGTGTGAAAGGTGAGAGAAAAAAATATTAGCCGGTACGAAGTTTGCCGGGTCAGTTAGTGTAATATTAATCTGTAATTCCGTATGTTCCAGGTTCACCCACGTAATAAACTTAGAATACTACTCGGACCTAGTAGCGATCCTAGCGCGCCTGATATCGGACGAGTTGATAGGAGCGCGCGAGCGACTACTGTGTGTCCGTACCGTGCTGGCCGTGCTGGCCGGCGCCGGGGACGCGCTCAATGTCGACCCTGCCAAGTTCCACGCCTATCTATACGTCTGCATGCTCAATTCTCATGCTGGTAAGTAATGTAATCGTCCTAGAATAAGGCTGTAAACAAAAATGATTTCAAAGCTCTAGTGCTATAATCTCAACCTGCGTCGTTACTAGCTGTTGCCCGCGTCTTGGTCCGCGTAGAATATGAATTTTAGAATATAACTTTCTTTGTGTTTCAATTTTTCAAAATAAAAGTAGCCTATGTTAGTAGTACATCAATTATCTGCCAATAAAATTCCCGTCAAAATCGATGCAGCCATTCCAGAAATTAGCCAGTACAAACAGACAGACAGACAGTCAAAAAATGTAAAAAAAAATATTTTGGTATATGTATCAAGGTATATTCATATGCATGTGGTAAAAAAAGCGGTTATTATCATATTATAAACAAAAGTGCATAAATTATTTCAATTAGTGTAAATGTAATTTTTTTATGTAACTTGACTAGACAAACATATTTTAAGTTTTCTATCTATTCCGAGCTAAATAGAACCTTTGAACTCGAGTCTTTTGGGCCACAACAATTTTAAATTTAATACATTTCCAGGAAGAACACAGCCAGACTCCAAGATCATCCTAGAGTCGGTGTCCCAGATCTGCGCGCGCGCTCGCCGCGTGTCTGCGGCCGTGCTGCAAGCGTTCGCCAAGCGAGCCGCCACCCTCGCCGCGCAGCTCCCGCACCACGCCGCGCTCGCCTGCGTCGCGCTACTGCACCGCCTCGCACAGGTTCATACTTCATACATGTTACAATAGGGTAGTTTCCTAAATTTAATTTTAATGTCCGTCTGGTAGATTGTTTTAAATCATAAGACACGTATTTTTTCTTTTCTCACAAAATTAAATGCTTTCGACGATATATTTATTTGAAATGTCGTGTGACGTCACAGCGTGCTACAAAGTGTAGCACGTTGTGACGTAACTACCTCCCACTCCTAAACTTAACGCCATTTTATTTAAGTGTTGTAAGTTTATACGAGAAAATAAAAAAATACGTATCTATTACTTTTTCATTATCTAACTGACGGACTAATTAGATTCTTAATTTTCTTACCCTGAACTACCCTATTCAAGCACAAACACTCCAGGTTCCACATTAGTTCAAGAATGAAAGATTTTGACTATATTTCTATTTCTACATTCAATATGGAAATGGAATATTTCCGGATCGATTCTTCTCGCTTATAATTTTACTCTCTTAAACTAATTATATCAGGAAATTAATTATTTCTGAACCAATAATTTAGTTTTGACGATTATTTAACATTCTAAGATTTTTCTTTTATAATTGTGTGTGAAATAAATAAAAAAATATGATCATTAAGAAACATGACAAATAAAACAGATAGATGTATTATGGTAATAATTTATTTTATAAATTGTTGCCGTCTTCGCTATCGCTATCGCTGTCATTTTCGGTAACATTTATTATAAATGTGTCTGTGATATTTTCAATTAACATATCTGGCCTATCTGATTATTTATCGATTTTTGTGTTCATCACTATATGTGGTATCATTATTTCACAAATGTCAGTAGCTAATGTCAAATCTGGAATCTAATTAAAATTCTGACTATAGTTATACTTTTCTTCTCGATGCAACGCTAAATGGTGTTTATAAAATAATCTTTTGAGACAATAGGCCACATCACACATCGTTCCTATACTATACATAAAGTTTTCTAACACTTGAATGGTACTTAGCTCATATTATCATTCACAATCCAATCTCGTATTCCAGCAAAGTAAAGCAGTATCAACCCTCCTGGAAGCAGACAGCGAGGCGGGCGGGTCGGGCCGGTTCGACCCCGCGCTGACGTCCCCGGAGCACTGCAACGCGCACGCGACCGCGCTGTACGAGCTCAGCGTCCTGGCGCGGCACTACCACCCCACTGTACGGGGCGCCGCCACGATGCTCTTGAAGGGAACCTTGCCGCCTGAACTTAATAAGATGTAAGTACTGACTTACTATTTTGATTTGTTGAGATCGATAAAATTGTTTGACCTGATACCTGCTGCGTCTTTTCGCCATCGACCCTCACGATACCACATCCACATCCTACCTATATAGGTGGACAGACCAGTACTGTGCGCTTCTCTCGTCTCGTCCTCTCTGCCTCGCACAATTACACTGTGGAATGATGTGTCGTCAGCGGTATTTCCGAACCGATACGACCTTCAACCTTCAAGAAAAAAGCGTATGCCTTTTTCAAAGGCCGGCAACGCACCTATAACTCCTCTGATGTTGCGGGTATCCATGGTAGAAGCTGATCGCTTACCATCAGGGGATCCGTCTGATCTTTTGCCTGCACCATAACAAATGGATAGTCCCTGGGAAACCGACCATAAATGAAACCGTATTATTAAAACCACCACAAGTGTTCGCATACAAAACGTGCCTATCGTAATTTGTGATGTTATCGAATGATGCGCGAAGATTCAAATCTAAACTATGTAGATATTAAAGTAAATTCGTATGATAATTATTATGTTATAAGCTGTTATAATCAAACATCTCACATGTTTCGCTAACGATTAATCACTTCATTTATGAATAGATGTAAAATCTCTCTTCTATATTTTGGTAAATCAAAATCACATTTTATATTTTCAGGACGCCCTCACAAATATTCAAAGCATACGATGGCTCAGAGATGGCTTTCAAACCTTCGATACCTCCTCCAAAGAAAGGTGAAAACCAGAAGAAGAAGATATCTAACGCACATGCGTGGGCGCAGCAATCATTCAAACAAATGTGTGAATCAGTAGAAAATAATGTTTCAATGGTCATCTCTAATGAAAGGTGAAATAATAAACTGTACTGTTAGTAAAATTACAGGTTTTATTTTACTTTCATAAACTTAATTATACATTTTGCCTCAATTATTCTATTACAATGAAATTACAATTATTTACAAATGCACTGCATCTTAATTTCTGTGGGAATTCATCATGAAATGTGTATTTAAATTCAATATGAACCTCTTCTGGAGAGGTCTGAGCTTTGTATTTGGTTCATGGGTCTGAATCACCAACAGTAAAGGTCATATACATAGTTACATAATTAATAAAAGTCATATTATATTACTGATATAAAACTAAACCTATTTTTATGACATCACTGTGCCAGCTTCTCATTCCACTGTTGTATGCTGTTGACAACAAGGTTGACTCTCTTCTCCCGCGCGGTGTCTAACACTCGCTTTGCTTCAGCGCGCTGCGCTTCTATGTATTCTTGTAAAGCTGTTAATCTGGTGCGCCAACTGTAAGAGAATAAACAATTAATTTATTAGACAACTAATGAAAGCATCTGTTACCACTAGACTACATGCAGGCACTATTGGAACATAGTCTGTCCAGCAATAAAGTTAGGTGCTCTATCTAAAATATAAATTCGTACGGAGAAGATTATTCGTATGTGTCGTGGCGGCCCCGAAGTTTAAGACACCCGCTTCTAACGCATGAGGGTGCGGGTTCGAAACCCAACTAATGTGACTTTTAAGAGGTATGTCTTACTTTCTAAGATTATTTAAGACACCACTAACAAACAATGAAGGAAAACATAGTGAGGAAACCTGGACCTATAATTTCTAATTATTAATATGTTAGTTTGAAATCGCGAACCCGCAATGAACAAGTGTGCTTATGTCCAAACCTTCTCCGTGTGAGAAGAGGCTTAGCTCAGCAGTGGGCATTTATGGCTGTTGATGATGTTGATGTTATAGAGAAGATTGAGTAATAAACTACTAATGCCCGAATACTGGAAGGCTACTCAATTTAAAGTTGTAGTTTTTGTAGCGACAAAACTATACGTAAACGCGACTTAAAACTGGCTAGCCTTTCAGTATTTAAGCATATAGTACTAACCGACTATAAGTGGTTTGTAACTGTAGGTTTCGTAAGATTCAAGTCCTTCATAACAAAACTCGAAATGAAAATGTACTGTAATCTTCAATCTAAATGGTAAACTCACGCTTCATTCTGTTGTTCCCAGAACTGTAGTTCATTCTCAGTCCTATTGTACTCTTCCTGCTGCAGCTTGAGTTCCTCCATTCTTGCATTGAGTTCCCTGAGCTCTGCAGCAGTAGCGGCTACATCGTCCGCCTCCTTACTGGTCTCACTGTCCAACATGTCCTGTTCTCGTTGGACTGTTGTCTTCATCTCACGGATTTTTGCACGAGTTTCATCCTGGATAAAATTATTGTTAGATTTGTTTTGTCTGTAGATAGCATGCCATATTCAGTGAAATATTCAGTTAAAAGTAGTCGAAGTAAGTAGAATACAAACCAGTAACGCAGCTCGTTTCCTAGCCAGTGCAGTTTTCTCCCTAGCGTGATGGTGCCTCCGCTGCGCGAGGCTGGCGGCCAGCACCTTCAGTGCTTCCAGCCCACAGCTCACTCGCACGGCGCACTCCGCACTCATCAGCTCTCTGGGAATAACGGCATAATTTGTTAGCACAATCCTTTAGTTTAGCAGAAGTTCAATATTACTGCTTTGAGGAGTATAAGGGTAACTGCAAGTATTTGGAAAGTATAACTTGATCTTACTTTTCATCAATAGCCAGTGACACGAGGTCAGGGAACTGTGCAGACAGATGAATGAGTCCCTGTTTATACTCCACACAGCTGTCCAGGGTCTTCTTCTGCCACAGAGCTAACTCCGTTTCTTTGGTGAGGACCATCTAGGAATAAAATTAATGAATTTGAATCACGAGTTAGAAAGGATTTCAAAAGAAACTCAACAAAAGTTCCTCCATCTGTTATATTTTTCAGTACAGATTTTCTACTAATACTTTGTTAAAGAGAACTTTAACAAGGGTAAGTTTTACATGTTTTTGAGTATTTTACCTTTCCAATTTGTTCAGCAAGTGATCGCTTGGAGTCTTGCACCCTGAGAGCATAGTCCACTTCATCCAACAACTTGGTGCGCTGCTCCACACTCAGTGGCTGGGACTCCAACTCCTGCTTCAACTGCTGACTCTCTGCACTGTATTATCAAAAATAGAAATTGAATAAGTAAATATTTATTGATGTTTTCGGTGGTTCAGGCAACGCAAGTACTGATAGCAAATGAGTTGAAACTCGTAGTAAAAGGTATACTATTTTATTCCTTTTGCAAACATACACTTTGGATTTGTCCAGAGGTCTTAGTACGAGTTTCATTTACGTTTAAAATATTCGAAACGAGTACGCGTTCGGTACTCTGATGGGCCGGCGTCAATGAATGAACCAATCAGAGTGCCGGACGCGTACTCGTTACGTTAACTTTAAACGTAAAACAAACTCGTACTAAGGCCTCAGTAAGAAGAAAAGGTTTGTTATTTATTGAACTATATGTGTAAGGGGTATGTAAGAATCGTATCATTTGGTGTTTCATTGTCTCTGCCAACCCCAAACAGTAGATAAGCGGTAAACAGGCGTGGCAATAAGTAGGTATGTATTTTTTAGAATGGTTACTCACGTAGCTCTCTCAATCTCAGTATCAAGTTGTTTGATGGCGTCCACGTAATCAGTTTTGAGCGTGCTCTGTGCGTCGTAGTCGGCTCGGTTGGCTCGGCGCGCCGCCTTCAACGCTCGCAGGCCTCCCAGCAACGCTTCACGGCGCTCCGCACGTCTTGCTTCGTCTGCACGAGCTGCTGCTTCGACTTCATCTTCTAGACAAGTTTCGTATTCTGTGAAGAAAATAAATATATCGTCTTCATTCAGTATATCAAGTTTTCATTGTATCAGCCCATACAGTTATGAGAAGTTTTAAAAGTGTATCTAGAAACAGTCTTCCAGAAAAATCAGGATTAGGTTTCAGGGACCATCAATAACAATACAATACTGGAAACTGAAATTAGTGCTTGGAACTATTCTCTTACTTTTGATTATCTGTTTTAGCTCTGCAATCTTTTCCTCGTCATTGCCAAGAAGGATTTTTAGATTCTGCAAGTACTCTTCATCTAAGTCTGCAAACTGATGACCTGGTTCTTGGAACCTGTAGAAAAAGGACAGTGTGAACACAAATTTTAAAAATATGATCTGTTCATTGATATTTTGGTATAGTTACCTGATCCAGCATTTGTACAGGTAGTCTCTACGAAGACACGCAAACTCATCTTTTCCAACATATAGTGTGTCGTCAGATATTGGCATTTCCTGTAAAAATACAGTTCAGTTATAAAAAAAATGTATTTAAACGAGAAAGAAGAATATTATAGCAGTAACTAGCTATTTAGTCACTCATTAGTTCTCTATTTCTGTTGAGGCAAATTGTATAATAATATAAAAAATCCATTCAGTCTTTGAGTTCATTGCCGATAGTCGGCACATACATTTTTTTTGTATACTAAATGTACATAAATACTCACAATATGGTTGACAAGGTCTAATAAGTACGCAATGAGCGCTAAAGCGTGTGGGAACGCGTGGAGAGTGTTCACTGTCTTCAGCCAGGACTTGGAGACTGTGCCCGGGTACAAGAGGCGCTTCGATAGATGTGGGAGCTGGTGGATATAGAAAATAGATAATACACACACTTACTTTATAAACTAGTGAATAATGAATGAAATGATTATTGAATTGTTATAGGTACGGTAGGTACCTTAGTAACATAATTATCAGTGTTGAGCTTAGTATCCCTAGTTATAGCAGAGAGCAATGCTGAGGCGATGTCCACAAAGCGTGCGATGGTGAGCGGCCGTATGAGCGCCATGGCGGGCGCCGCGCCGCCGCCGCCGCGCGCCGACAGCGCGTCGCCCACGCGGCTGCACTCCGCGCGCTGCCATGCTACTGCTGAGATAGGTCTGCAGAGAATAACATCATTATTTAGTTGGTGCTTGAGAAAATCAAACAATAATATTGTGTATCAATTGTTTATACCTCTGATCCTTGATGGTAACAAAAGCCAAAGCTCTGTCTAGAGAAGTTTGCCAGTTCCTGCTTGCTCGATCTTCTGATGGTGTTCGCTGTATATATTAATTAATTATTATTATATAATTCAATTCCTTTACTTACAACAAGTTTTATCAATGTATTGAATTTATTTCAAAGACTTTTAACACTAAAGTAGAGAATATTATCATTATCAAAGAGAGAATTCAGTGCACAATGACAAAGGTATGTTAATAATTCTTTTTTTAATAAATACATTTGCAATCAGCCCCAGGACTACGAGCTAATCTTCTGTGCAATCTGTTATGCATGTGACTTCCCATTGGAAGCTCTATTCATCTGCTGCATAGAGCTACTGCCTGTCTTCTAATTCAATAATGTGTGTAAATAAATATAAAGCTAAATATTTACAACAGGTGTAGTAGTCGGTCTGGCTGCATACTGGCTGGACCTCAGTGGTGTCATGGAAGATTGGCCAAACCTATCAGCTTGCTGAGATCGGGATCTCTGTGAATATCAAATCAATACTAGTTAGGCATTGAAATTTGGATATGTTAAAATAAAAAATAAATTGATTACCATAGTTACAATATTCGAAACTAAGTTCATTGTTACTACTAGTTGATTTTAGTGATTTATTACACAGTATTTAATTGATTACAATAAACACTTACTCCATTCAAAGGTAACTTAGTAGCAGAAGCCTCTCTGCTAAGTCTCCCGGCTCCAAACGTTCCTCTAGCAGGCTCCGCACTGCTGGACCGATGTCCTGCAGTACTAGGACGCCGAGCTTCCGTTGATAGACGGTCCGTAGATCCAGGACGCCGCGGTTTAGGCAGTAAGGACACTTTTCCTTCAAGCCTTCGTACCAAAAATTATTACAACGTTAAATTAGTAATCTTTATTAGTTATCCAACAATATTACCTGATACCAATAGGAAAATATTTGATTAACAAGTTACTTAAAACTTACGAAGAATCAAGAAATAACAACAAAATCAAATAAGACTCATTAGACGTACCTTGACTTCCGTAACGCACTGGATTGGCCAGGAATATATCTATTAGGATTCATTTTTGAACAGAATTATCAAAAGAAATAAACTATGTAAAGAAAAGTAATGTTTTCATTTATTTTTAACTCCACTTTTTCTACAATCACAACAAATCGGACAGTTCCCGTTTGAAATTCAAAATTCAAAACAGACAATGTCACAGATAATAAAAGTCATCTAATCGATGCGTTCCTCGAGAAAATTTTTGTAAGTAGTATTTTTTTAAAAATGTGTTTATTGTTGTGGCACAATCTCGTTGTTAATAATTTTTTCAGCTTCAAATACTAATTGAGGGAAAGTGGGATCCATTAAACACGATTTAATGAAATTATTAAAACTGTTTGGTACAGTGAACGAACTCGTTTCATGATCTGGAAAATAAAATAATAGAGAATGGTGATTACTTTAGCATTTAGCTTGTTAGCACATGGCTTAAACTTTAAATTAGTAACATATCTTTATTTACTTACGTTTATTTTCTAAAGCATGTTTTAAGACATCATCTATATTGCGGTACTTCGTGTTAATAACATTAACTTGCATATTACTATGGCTTATTACTGGAAAATGCTGACCAAGCGACTGAAGACACTGTACTAAATTAGATTTTATTTGAAATTTTATTTTTCTTATCTAAAACAACGTGACTTGTTTTAAAAGAGGGAACAACATAGACTATCCATTACTCTAGTTTTACTAAAAAAAACTTATACCATTTATTTATTAAACCCTTACTTACTTCCTTTGAAATACTGTTGACGATTAGAATTAGAACGTCTTCTTTATAAATTCCTTTAATTTTATGTTGCATATTAAACGACTCTAATATTTTCGTGTCAGCTGATATTATGAGTTGATCGAAATGAATTCGGAGAAAAACATTACTTAGTTTTGAATCATATTTTTGCCAACTTCCTTTCCATATCATTAACTTATCGATTGGAGTTGCCCATGAATCTAAAACAAACAAAAAGTAATGACAGCCATTACATTTTTAAGTTAAGACACTCATATCGTCCAATTTTATAACTTACGTGTGTTGTTCAATTTATTATTAGTTAATTTAGACATTTTGCAACAAATATGTACGCTGAAATAACAGGAATTATTTCTACGATTTCCCGCCTTTTGAATAGAATGAAATGTGTGAAATTTTTTTTATGTGGCTTCAATAGTTGTCATTCCATTTTACTTTGACATTTTGACACACACTGGCACTGACAATTTGACAAATCAACAAAATTGGATTAGAATGACATTGTTTTGGATTATTAAGAAACACCTACGAAATATAATAATTTCTCCATGAAATACACCGTTTTTTGAAAGTAATTTATTAGAAGAACAATGTCAGCTGGAACTTATTATTTTGTTATTGTTGGGCATTCCGACAACCCAATATTTGAAATGGATTTCATCCCTGTGACTAAAGAACCGAAGGTATTTATCATAGTTTTAGCAGTGTGAAACAACTACGGATATTATTTTGATAATTAATCGTTATACAGTTCTACCTATTGCATAATAATGAATAGTATCTATAACTTATTGAAATATTCCAGAAGGAGGACAACAGGCATTTGAATCAGTTTATAGCCCATGCAGCACTTGATCTAGTAGATGAGCATATGTGGAAGGTGACAAATACTTACTTGAAGTCTGTGGACAAGTTCAATCAATGGTTTGTTTCAGCATTCGTGACTGCAAGCCAGGTAAGCAGTATGAACTTGTATCATTGCCTCGTTTTAAAAAAAGTAAAATCTCTCATTGAAACTTTAAATCTTCCAATTTTAAAACTTTGTTGGAGGTTCTGATGTCGTAATACTTAGAAATCTTGTACATAGGTATAGGTAATTGAGGCTTCTTGAAATAAAATATTAATACTATTCTTAGTAAAAAAGTATCAAACTCCAACTCATTTTTTACTTATTCATTTCAGATGAGATTCATAATGGTCCATGATGCTCGCAATGAGGATAGCATTAAGAATTTCTTCACAGATGTTTATGAAGCTTACATAAAGTTGATGTTAAATCCATTTTACAAAGAAGACACTTTGATCACATTGCCTGCTTTTGAGAAAAAGGTTCAGTTTCTAGGTAAAAAATATTTAACATAAGCGAGATTATTAGTTATTATTTTAATTAAAGAATAATGCAAAACATGTTACATGGAACAAAAGGTGTATGAAACATTATTATTTAGGGATTCAATATTATGTCATTTGACCAAATTCATTATGAGGTCACTTTTTTTAAATTATCCTAACTGTTATATAGGTAATGCTAGTTGTTATTTAGGTTTCATGTAAGTGTATCAATATAAGTTAAAAGCAAAGATGTAAATATTTAAAATACAAATAAAATAACTATTATTATTATAAAAATACTTTATTTCAACTCAATATAAGAAATGTCCCAAAACTTCATACAAATTAGGCAGTACAAAGTTTGACTGCATAATAATACAAAGCATGACTATCTGAATCACAATGTCACATATTACTGAAAATTCTCATGTAATAAAATTCCACATTATTAGCAAGAATATTATCTAGCAGTATGTATTAAGACTATGTATACAGTACAAGTTATCACATTATCTTGTAAACCAAAGGGTACATTTCAATCTTGGATTTAAAGATTTATGCAAAGGAACCTGTTTCTTACAATATATATTAAGTATTCTGTTTCTGATACAAGTAATGAAAAGAAGGCTCAAAAGGAAAGTAACTTCAAGGCAAATCTTTTATATTTTGCAATAATTTTATACTCTAATAAAGGCTGTAGAATTAAGCCAACGATACACTAGGGGGCAAATGGCCCGAAACATATACCTATCGGCGACATGTCGATCTTAACTTTAGCGAAGCCGGCCGATGTCGCCTGACATATACGGTGACAACACACGACTTATGTGCACAGTGACGTTGATGTTGCCAGATAATATGTCGATCAAAGTCCGGCAACGTCGCGCTACTTTATTCGACGTCGCTGGTGACACAATATGTCGCAGGACATTATTTTGTCCCCTAGGCTTTAGTTTTTTGTTATTCATCCCTATTGACTAGTATATCAATAAATATAAGCATCATTATTTCATTCTTGTATTCAGGTTACAGCCAATTTGACTTCGTTGTTAGCTTTTAGCAAACATTTTATGGCAGATGTTTCTAACGCTAGATAAATTTTAACCGACAAATAACATTGAATATTTTGGCAATTCTTCCATACTAAAAACTGTCGAATGTCAATTTTATTCTGCAGTTAAGAATTAACTGATTATTGAAAAATCGGCCCTTAATGTCTGTGTAAACAAAGACCTATTTCATTAAAATATTCTCAAACATAAACTCTAGATCGCTCTTGCATATAAATTCATGGAATCGGAATATACAGTCACAATTTTCATAAATACTAGGAATAAAACTACTCCAGTAAATAAAATCATTCCACAGTTATGTTATTGCGGAACGATTTTATACACTCAACTCCTTTAAACCATTGAAAGTAAATTAATAAAACAGGTCTCTTTCAAAACTATTTAATTGCATTGTAAGTCAAACTATTTGCACACTTGAACCATCAATATCACTGATGATCAATCACTATAAATAGGTAATACAGTTAACATAATAGCTCATAGCCTAATCTATGTAGAGTAATCTAAATGTTTAATAGAGGTCAGGAAGATCCAGGTCATCATCAGGGATGCTGCCAGTTGAAAAATCGTCTGAAAATAAGAAATCAATTTATTGCATATAAAGAGGTTGCATGAAACAAAACAGTATTTATTAACTATTGTGAATCATCATACTGAATTAACTAAACATTACGAGTTACGTAAACATACTGAGAAAAGTTCTACTGGTTTCGAGACAAAGGGAAACTCTTTCTCATGAGCAGTGTGCGCGAATGCAGTCCCACGTCGCCGCGACCGCGCACGTAAGTAGAGCTTTTCTCAGTGTATTTATAAGCAACTTGTAATTTTTAGTTAATTCAGTATTTATTCAATTATGTGTTAATAATTTCACTTCTAGAACTTGGTTAACAGTGCACATGTGGTTCTAGAGGTGTCTAGGCATAAAACAAAACCTCAATGTGTAACAGTTATAAAAAAGTCTCACATGATGTCATCATGATATTATCAACTATTAACAACATTGTGTCCATAAGTAAAATTGTTAGACCAGTGTGTGGATGACTGGTCTAGATTAAGTTCATTCATACAATATGAACTTGGGAGACACAAACTGCAGTAAAACTCACCTTTAAAGAATTCATCCTGGTATGAGCAGTTAAACTCAATGCTGTGCCTCTTTATGGCTGGTGGAGGAGTGTTGGGTGGAGAGAATTGCTTCAAGATCTCAGGCTCCGGTATAGGTAAGTAGTCAAACAGATCTCTCTGATGATTGTCTGTGGAACCCATTTGTGGAAGAAATATAATTCAGATTGGTCAATAGGAATAAATGTTTAACAACACTCTTTATATAGGC